CTTCACTCTCTTCCCACCCCCACTCCAACCAGGGTTGCTTAGCAACCATAGAGCAGTCTATGGAGAACACACACACACACACACACGGGCGCACACACACACGCACACACACACACACACACACACACACACACACACACACACACACACACACACACACACACACACACACACACACACACACTTGGAAAACCCGGGAACTCTGAAGGAGGAAGATAATGTACTGGCACTCCACCCCTCCATCATGCTCTGTGACCCCCAAAATGTGAAAAGAAACAGCTGACCCTGCTGTCTGCTGGAGGAGATTCAACTCAGTAACCGTGGCCCAGTGACTACTTCTCATGCCTTGGATACACACTAAGGATAAAATGATATGGAAGTTTAATCGCAGATTGAAAATACTGGAATTATCATGTAAAAAACAAAACAACTCACACATTTTGTTATTTAGGCAGGCAGGAAGGTGATGATTTATACCTTATTTAATATTGTTTATTTATTCTTCAATAAAAAGATTGTGTCCGTTCTTTGACGAAATAAAAGTGTATGTTCCTTAGCAGAATGTAAGGTTTGTTTTGTATGTTTAAGCGCTGTTTGAAGAGTTGTAGGCCTATTTTGATTTATATTGCAATATTGTCAATCGCTTGAACCGAAATGCTCATATCTTCTCATGACTAATGTATATGTAGTATGTACACATTAAGTCCATTGCCATAGTAAAAAGCTATCCTTGCACTCGTACAGCACAAACATGTAACAGAATAGTGAAACAATCAGCCTCTTTGACAAAAAGCCCTTGTTATCACGTCATATCTACATCCAGAACCTCGCTTTACATTTTGTAATTGTGACTGATCACCGATGGATATAAGCCTGCAGCCATGAAATCAGCTTCCCAACAGACAAAGGACTTGAAAAGAGGAAAGTTAGAAGCTCAGCAGCGTCTCCCCAGTCTAACACTATTAGCACATTAAGCAAGTGCTTAAATACAGTCAGCAGACGATGGATCAACGCAGTGCCCTGAGCGGGAGACAGCGCTGTAATCCCCTAAAGGGGGTTTCACTGCAGTAATGGCAACCAGTATGAAACCACAGCCTCTGGGGAGTAGTGGGACTGGGTAGATTATGAGCAGCCTTCAGGCGACGCTAAACCCCTTATAGCCCTGACACACACACATACACATACAGACACACACACAGAGACACACACGCACACAAACACACACACAACAAAATAAACAGGTAAGTGTACACACCTAAAACTATAAAATCCATGAGGAAACACACTTTAGCATGCTGGAACATGGAAAATATAAAGACAAAGCTGTGTGCATACAAACAGAATATCCAAGAGTGTAACCTGACTGATTCCTTTTACATCTCATCCAAGTAGGGGTAAATATTCCATCTTTGTTTATGTCTGTATGACACGTTTGGGGAGAAGGGTGCAGTAACTAGGATGTCATTTTACTCCTGGATTATGGGATGGTGATGGAATGACTCTTTTGGCCGAGGGCAAGTAGATGGCTATTATTTCTGGTAAATTAAAGCAGCAGCCTCTGGGGCAAGAGAAATACACCAAAACATAAAAGGCAAAGAGCACATTATAGCCTGATCCCTGCTGTGAAACACAATGAAAACACTGTGGTCAGGTGGTGATAAAACACCGTGAGTACGTGGTTAGATGACAGTTATTGTTTCATGCCGACTGTGAAAACAAACAGAAAGGTTGAATTTATACCAAATGAAATCACTGTGCAGTCATTATAAATGGGCAAAATGAATAAATCTGGTTTTACCAAGTCCCAGAAGGGCAAAACTGTGGGTAAATCAGCAAAAATAAATGAGTGGGGCTACAGTAATACATATTTTTATTGTTGATTATTTTCTCAATTAATCGTTTAGAGGTTTAGTCTGTATAATGCCAGAAAATAATGAAAGTGTTGACAGAAATCCCAAGATGATGTATAGTCAGATATTTAGTGTACTGACCAATAAATCAATTATAAAAATAGTTGGTGAATAATTTAGTAATTGACAACTAATCAATCAATAAATCTTTGCAGCTTTAGCTTTGAATGGGTGTATTTATAATATATCGCCATACAACATACCTTTATATATACTTTTACAGACCTTTTTCGCGTTGTTGTGTAGACTTTCCAGACTGTGCTCAACTGTTCATTTGTTGGCCCCCTGAGAAAAGCTGCTTAGAGCGGAAAGGAGATTACATACCCAATATACAAAACACTGCAAAGCCTATTTGACCCCTGCCTATGAAAACCTACACAAACACCTATTTTGAGACCCGAGTCTGCATATAGATTTGGGTTTAAATCTGACCCGACGCTTTCATCCGCACATAAATACAGTACTTACTTACAGTATTTTCTCTTAAATGGTCTGTAAGAGCCTGAAGCTTTACTTAGAGGGGATTCAATCCTCTCACATTAACAGTAGTTCAATCACTCTCACACACACACACACCGCCTTGATCCAACCCATACATTCATATATAATAATATAAAATAAGTAAGACCTGTAACCATTCACAGAGCAAATGTAGGGTTGGCCTCTGGCTCTCAAAACGGTAGAATTTTTATAGCTATGTCTGTAAAACCCAGAGGGAGAGACAGACACAGGTGACCTTTGGGGGAGGGGAGGTCACCGGATGGGGTCACTGAAATGTAATCTTTAAATGAGCAAAGCAAGGACTCAGCCGCCTGGGGAATACATGGCTGCAGCTCGGCCACGCTCAGCCGTTGAGTGAGTGAGAGACAGAGACAAATGTCTCATTAACCTCCACACATCCCACATGCTCAAGGCATCTTTATGTAGGCCTTAGTGTGAGTGATCGGGCACAAACCCAGTCTTCATTCATTCATCTGTGTAAAAACACTTTTTGTAGATCAGATGAAGCAATTTGAGGCTTCCGCACTCTGAGACAATGAAACCAGGCAAGGTACCTACCAAAGTTAGTGACTTTAGCATCAATGTAATGTATTGTTTGTGTAACTACCCCTTTAATGCATCTCACAAAGGAAACATTGCCTATATAGTGGATACATGTCATAACAAAACTAGAGGAACTTTAGTGGATATGAAGTTATTTAACTCATATAAGTTTCAGTTGATTAAAAAAGCAAAAACTAAAAATAAGACAGTGGATTTTGGAACCATCACTCAAATGAAATTAAATTAAAGAAATGTTTTAGGGCTGATGTGGAGGTAGGACTTTTCAAACATAGAGGCATGAGCATATTGTTAATATGACAAACTGTAAACCTTTAACATTTAACAAAGACGGACAGAAGGAAAAACAATGTGTTGGATACTTTTAAGGACTATTGTTAAAAAAGGCCTGAACTGCGTAACTGCAGAACAACTTTTTCCTACACTAAAATACAAGCCAATTCCAGGCTTGAAATTGGGTTTTTCTGCAGGTTAGCACAAGGACCAAAAGACTCATGTACTCACATTTAGATTTTGCATTGTAAGCACATGTTTACAGACCATGACCATGAGAGGGATGGCATGATGACATAACTGCATACATCAGGGAAAAATATCTGCAAATATAGGGCACATGGTGAAACATGCTGACAGCAACACTTTTATCAAAAATCTATTTGCAATGATGTCCAAAATAAATCCATTTCGGGGCATCCTTTGTATGTTGACCCTGCCCCCTGGTGTCTGGAAAATAATGGTGCAACAACAGTAGATGGTACTGAACAAGGCAATATTTGACATACGTACAATATTTTATTTCACTTTGCAAGAACAGGATGGGAAACTATAGCTGAGTTCTTCTTTAACAACATGAACTTTCCATTTTACACCACATCAAAGTTTGAGGAGATGGGCATACATAAAGTAAGCACCATTTTGAAGGAACAGACATGCTATCCTACGTTTGCATGCCACGTGTCTAAATCTAATACCAACTATACTTTCTTTATTAGCTGTGTGAAAAACATTATTTTGTAGATCATTCAGTTCGTAATGAACAGGTGCTTGGGTCTGTATAGTTACTTTTCAATGACAAGAAAAGCATCATTGTAAGATTGTGTCATCTTTGAGAAGGTTTTTTCTTTACATCAATAGATAATATTTCATCATATTTTCATGGATGATTATATCCATCCATTTAATACAAAGCTTTCCTTTTGAGTGTGACCCATAATTATGAGATTGAATCATAAAATAAAATAAAGACACTCAAGATGTATTTTGAGCATGTATTAAATAAATATAATACAATTTGATGGTGCTTTTTTTTTTTTTACTTCACATCAAGTATGAAAAAAACGAATCCTTGAATGGGGAAATAGGCAGATAGGCAACTGTGAAAGAAGAAAATAAAGTGCAGAGCCATCACTTTTTAAACGTTTTCAAATGGGATTAGGGGCTATTTCGGGCTCCTGCTGTTCGTCCATGTAGTAGGGGTCTCCTTGGTGGACTCTGTGATTGTGCACCCTCAGGTTCCCTCTGTGGGCAAATCTCTTCCCACACTCTGTGCAAGCAAAGGGTCTCTTCCCCATGTGAACGTCCCGTTGGTGGGCTCTCAGGTTCCCACTGCGGGCAAAACGTTTCCCGCACTGGGCGCAGCCGAAAGGCCGCTCCCCTGTGTGTGTGCGAGTGTGCACAGTCAGCTCAGAGGGGGTGAGGAAACTCTTGTCACAAAACTGACAAGGATGCAGTCTTACTCCTGTGTGGCGTAAAAGGTGTCTGCGCTGGTGAGAGGGGTAGGTGAAGCACTTGGTGCAGTATGGGCAGGTGTACGGCCGTCCATTCGCTGCAGCAGGAGCTGGAGGATGGCTGAGAGTGTGTCGCAGAGCCAGCGACTGGGAATTGGACTGTGTTCGGAGAGGGTCTCTATTGCCAAAAGTTGAAACCCGCCGTGTGTGATTGACGGGGCCTCTCCCTCCCCTGTCATCTCTGGGTCTCCATGGAGATTCCCCAGGTGGGGCTTGAGGCTGAACCTGCCGTGCCCCCTGGCCCTGCACAGAGTTCTGAGGGGAGATGTGGTTCTCAGGCTCCTGGTCCAGAAAAGGGAAGGAGCTATCGTCGTCTTCGTTGCTGGTCTCGTCAGAGCCAAAACCCTGTCTGAAGCAGAGTGTGTCTGTGCCGGCACTGCTGCCAGCTGGACCAGAGCAGTTGGTGCCTTCGGCCTGCAGGTTCTCCAGACCGGACCCCCCACCTTTGGTGCCGTCCAGCCCTGGTAACCACTCCCCTGGTTGAGCTAGCCCAGGGTCAGGCCTGGGGGAGCAACGTCCGCTCTGGGAGATGGAGAGGAAAGGGGTGGAGGCTTGATCCCGGACAGATCTGTGATCTGCACCGCCCTGATCCCAGTGAGACACTGCAGGGATTAGGAAGAAGGGTATGGTCACTACCGTGTAGAATTATAATTAAACTGTTCAATACTCAACCAAGCATTTTTTGATTTATACATTAACACATTTTCAGCATTATTATCATTTACACTGTTGTTATAGATTTGTTATATACATCTTTTTTTATTTAAATGTTTCCATATTTATTAGTGTTACGTATGGTAGCATAACACAAATATTTAACATACTTATTTCTTACTAATAAATTATATTCCAGAATACGAGCAACTGTAATGTATAGACCTAATGTATACCTAATGTTCCTCATAGGAACAAAGTAGTTCTGATCTTACATTTAGCCTTGGCTTGTGTAGCAGACAGGGTATGTGTCTTCCTCTGTTCTCCAGCAGCAAGCGTTACCTCTGGGACTTGGACTGCCACAGACCCCACTGTAGGTTGTGATCCAGCACGCTGTGAACAATAAGCAACACAGATCTGTAAGACACCGAAAAGCCAAAAACAAATGTCACTTTATTCGGGGTGCAGATATCATAATAGCTTCTTAAAGGTGGGGTAGGTAATTTTGGAGAAACCGGCTCGAGTGCGCTAAAATTTGAAAATACACAGCCGGAACAAATCTGCCACTTCCTTACAGAGCCCCTCCTCCAACACACACGAACACGCACATGACCAATGAGGGCACGAGATAAGTTTGTGCACAGATGGAAGGCTGACAGGCAGGTAGGCCATCCAGTTATTTTAGCCGGGCCGTCTAAAATGATTGGTCGTGCTTTTTACAGTACTACGGCTTCCACAGATGAATTTTTTTTATGGATTTTTTGTCAAAGCACTTAAAATATTCATTGCTATCGGGATGTTAAGAGCATTCCATGGAATATAACAAAAAGTGTATCTCGAGCCGGTTTCTCAAACTTACCTACCCCACCTTCAACTTCAATTTTTAGGACATCCTACTTTTAAATCATTGAGGACAGGGTCTGACCTCATGTTTTACTGAAGCTCCATCCTGGCCTGTGACCTCTTCTTTCATCCCTCTGAGGCTCTGACTGAGTCTTTCCACTGGGTCCAAATGAGAAGACAAATCCTTTCCCACATTTAGTCCTGTGTAAGAAAAGTGTAGGTGGTCAGTGCATCAGTTAAGTGACAGGGATGATAACTTGATTACAATTGGGGCTTATCCCCCTGCAACAATGCAAAGGATACGAATATTTAGAAGAAGCACCAACATCTTGTCCTTAGGTAAAGTAGTAACACTATAGTGTAAAATACTCTATTAAAGTGCATCCAAAGTTTTACTTAACCAATATTACAAAGAAATGTGCATCAAAGGCTACTCTATATGCGAAATGGCCCATTTCAGAATCATCCATTATTATATTACAATTATTGTTGATGCATTAATGGCTTTTTGACCTGAATTGCTGCAGCTAGTAAAGGTGGAGCTCAATTACTTTATATACTTCTGGATAGCTTAATAATCTTGAATGATAAAGCATCATCAACATGTTATAAATTGATTATATTTTGTATTAACAATCTTCCAGTTGTTATTTCAGACAAAAGTTGGTATTCCCCTCTGAGGTGTAGTGGAAAAGAAGTATGCATCTTGAAACACGCAAGATAATAACAAGTACCTCCAAATTGTCCATCAGTACAGTACTTGATTAACTGTAGTTTACTTAATTATTTCACCAGCTATACATTACAAAAAAATGGAATGGTTTGACATACAGACTTGGTTACAAGATGATACCACTCTACCAGTGCACTGTCCACTTTCATTAGTATTTTTCTGACCCAAGTAAGTTTTTATGAAATTCTTAAATACCATGTGAGCTGTATTACCTGATCCGTTGGGGGTCTGCTCCCATTCCTCGCTCCCTCCACCCTTACGCCTCCTCTCCACTTTCTCCAGCCTGCCTCTGAGGATGGAGATCTCCTCAGTTTTCTGCGCTAGCCCCGCCTGCTGCTCACACAGGCTGCTCTCAAAGATCTTGGCGATCTCGCAGACAGCAGCAGCCAGCAGGGAGTCCATGACGGTGGCCAGCTGAGCGTGGAAAGCACTCCTCACCGTCTCCATTGTGCTTTGTTTCAGGGAGGATGTTTTAATGTCAGTGAGGGATTGACACCAAGGTTTTATTCAATGGTTTGCCTCCAGTGACAGTCGAGGACGATGTGTCTACAGCGATGTGCACTCCTCTACCCTGGAACTATGAACCGCCACACAATGTTGCCATGCTAAGTACCTAGGCCATTTCTATTATTAATATATGGCAGCAAGTTGCTTTTATAGTGCAATCTGATTGTTATTAAAAATCTGCTGTACGGCTGTTTTCGATATTTCAATAAAGATGAAAATGGTGTCCAGGCTTTATTTGTTGAGCTAACGCTAAAGCAGTGATGACAAACAACGTGGTGCAATGCAGTAAGCCGGTTTGTTTAGTCGATGAGCATTAACACAATTACAATTTTAAATAGCTACAAGAAACATGCTGTTGTAAACAAGCAATACAGTAAGGAAGCTAACAAGCTAACGTGTAAACAAGGGAGCCAACGAAGCGTAACCAGTGCTATCCTGTGTATAGTCCAGGTGCTAGTTCAAGCTACTACTCTAGCTAACTGTTTACCGGCAATGGAAACAACCAAAGAAGCTGGTCGACTCTGCAATGTATCTCAACAGAAAGCGACCAAATAGCTTATCTGGCATAAATTAAATCCATGAAACGATGCAGCGACTCGGCGTCCAACCAACTAGCAGGTTGATATATCTGTTATGTGATGGTTGCAGCAAGTCTCGCGATAACAAATATGAGGATTCAGGTACTGCAGAAATCAAAGAGCCAAAAATAAATGTCAATTATATACAGAAAAACACTTCAATTGTTCAGTGATGAATTCCTGGACTGAAAACAACTCGGCTGCTCCCCTTAGAAAGACTAATATAAAGAATACATTTAGAAACGGGTAAAAATAATAATAATGAAAGTGTATCTATGTTATAGAGTAATTCATGATACAAGACCATGTGCATGCATAAAATGAAATTGACTTTGTAACCCCTTATGGTATTTTATTGTTCTGTTGTTTTTTATGTGAGCCTTGTCCTTGTATCGCTGTCTTTCATGTTGTCTTTGAAAATATACACTAAAATCGAAATGATTAAAATAAAAAGTTCAGTGACGAAGTAGTACAACTATCTCGTTGTTATTGCTAAAAAATATGCAAGTCAAGGTATACAGTAAATATTTTAATAGGTTATTGCTGACAATGGTCATAGATAGCAACACTTGTAATAACTTTAAGAACATAAAAAGCAATAGTCGCGGAAGATCTCCCACCATGTCAATATTAACAATGAATACAACCCAAAAATACAAGAGATTCAAACAGTTACAAATGTTAAATATATATTTAAAATCATTGTTTTTTTCAGGACTCAAGCACGGGATAAAATATCTATAACGTTGAAGTCAGTGTAATCTTCTTACATATCTGTCAGGTAACAAGAAAGATTAAAAATGTGTCCTGCAAATTCACTTAAAAATTGCAAAGCTGAGTGCAAAGGTTTTGTCTAAACAACTAAAAACATTACCAGAAACTATTGAGGCAATAAGAGTGTTTAAACAATGTTTTCCAATTCTGCTTGAACTTCATACAACACATCAAAATCGCGAATAAGGCACACAGTAAAAAATACTTAAAAAGACACATTGAACAAAACTTGGTGAGACCGTTTTTTGCTCTAGTATGAAATTACACAATGTGTGACAATGAACTTGTGATGGTGAATACCAACATGGTTAGTATGAGTTATATAGTGATCGTATCACTCTCAAAAACAAAACCTACAAAAGATTAAATGCAGGTCATCCTTGATCATGAATGACAACATCCAGCGTTTCAATGTCCACAGACAGGTGATGCTAACTTTATACTGGCGTATTATGTAACCTCTCCATATGGTTCCTGAGGCATGCTCTATGGACGAAACTTTTCCCACAAACCTCACAGGAACAAGTATGATCTCTCCCACAGATCAAGACATGCTTATTGCACCTAGCTATTGAGGGAAACGTTTTCATGCACTTTGAACACTTGCGTCTCCTCCAACACATTTTCTCGTGCCCGCCTAGCTGTGCTCTATTACTAAACCTTTCAGAACAAACGTTACATTGAAAGGGCTTCTCTCCTGTGTGGGTGGGAAAGTGCTCAATCAGCCCGTGTGTGTCTGTAAAGGGCTTCAGGCACAACCGGCAGATGAAGCCCTCAGGGGAGCGTGTGCCCATTGTTTCCCATATTAAACTTGGGCTTGTGTCTGGAATGTTATCCCTCTGAACATCTTCATGGTTGTTTGCATGACTTTTTTCTTTTTCTGGAGACTTCAACTCCACAGAAATATCGTCCATATTCTCCAAAGGCATGGTCCATGCATTGCTTTCATTTGTCTCACTGGAAATGTTTTGTTCTTTGTGCATTTTCCGTTTGTGTTCTCGGAGTGCCTTTTTACTCTGGAATGGCTTCGAACACATGCTGCAAGGGAATTTCTTTTCACCAGCATGAACACACAAATGCTCCTCTAGATTCAAACTAGTACGACATGTTTTGTTGCAGTGTACACAGGTTATCTTTTTGTTGCCCTTATTATTCTGAGTAGAAGATTCACTTGGCCTGCTAGAGGAAGCTGTGCTTTCTTTTTTAATGATGACCTGTTGTGCAGTCAGGTTTTCTTCACCTAAAGACTCAGGTTTTGGAGGGTTAGTGGATCGATCTTTTTTTGCCAACAACTTCTTGAGTTTTATGCAGGATGGTTTATGCAACTTTAGAGCACTTGGAGATGGGAACTCTCTTTTGCAACCTTTGCATTTCTTGTGTGATCGTATATGCACACTTCGGCCAAACATTGTGTCAAATCCCTTCTTACAATACCTGCAGGAGTACTTTTTTTCCCCGCGATTTTTTACAATCTCCTTTTCTGTAGACTCACTTTTAACGATTTTATTTTCTTCTCCTTTGCTCTTCTTTGTATGTTTTTGCTTTTTTCCCTTTATCCCCCCTTTGCTTAGACTTGTACCGATTGTTGTGTCAGTATGCACCTGCTTTATGCCTGAGAGCAATTGTTTTATGTCGTTTCTCTGTGTTGGATGTTGAGTTCCTTGGTCATGTGTTGGTATGGTTTTGTCCTGCGTGGTTTTCTTATTTATTAAGGAACCTGTAAAAAGAAAATAGTAAACTGAATGAAAAAGCAGAGGTGACACGATTACACCACACTAAAAAAGTGGAAGAAAAGAGAATTTGTAATGCCAGCATTGAAAGCAGATACAATTTACAGCAACACATCTTATTAGAACCATTGTCCTAGAAGCTAGAATGTATAAAGCTAGAGGGCGGATAAACTTTAACTTGCACATGATTTTTGTAAACCAAGTACTATCAATTTATGGCTTACAGAGCATTCGATTTTTCGCAAATTTACAAAGAAACAATTCCTATTAACAAAGAGAGCCTTTGAAAACATAAAATCGGTATCAGTGAATGCAAACATCTAAATTCTGACAAGTATAATTTACAGCACAAATGAATAAAAGCACAATTGAAAAATGACACAAACCTCTCCTGGATCTCCTGACACCCTTTGCTCGCTGGTTGGAGTCAATGTCACGCTGATCCACCTAAAACAAAGATAAGTAGTATTTTGTTGGTTATATCTTCAGGGATTAACAATGCAAAAGAAAAACAAGTTCAAAAATAATTAGGAACATGCAGAGCTATGTCTTCAAACGCAGCAAGTAATGAGATGAACTTTGAATGTTTTGAGACTTTCAATACCTTTGTGAATATTGTAGCTCTTTATAAAACATGTGATAACTGTGGTATAGAATTTTCTATATGCCCATTTAGTTTTAGTTCTATAGTCTTCTTATTTATTCCCTCTCCTCCTCTCTAGGCCATAGAGCTTTAACATTCTTTCTCCACAGCTGTGTATTGGTATGACCCTGGTAGTTGATTCAGCAAGCCCAAAACATTCATAAAACAATCTCTTCTTTAGATAATAACAGGACCAAGCACAGTGTCAGAGAGCAGGATGAGAAAGTAGGTCTTAACTCTAACGTCGGGCTTAGCTACGTCCGACTTAGTGATTCAAATTTACACCGAGTGCACCAAGCCTGACTAGTCTCGGTCGTAGCTGCGCCTGGTCTTAAGATGCGCGTCCACGTGAATACACGCAAAACAGTTTGTTGCCAAGCAACACACATCTACATAATTTAACACTCGAACTCCTCCATTCAGAGCAAGCGAAGACTTGGATAACGAAGTCATGGATAACGGAAACCAAAAGAGAAAAATGACGCCCACACCCCGAAAAATAAATAGGGATTTTACAGAGCTACAGCGTGAACTGGTGGAGAAAGAGATCGTTCGTGTGGAGGTGGAGACCGCAAAACTGAGAGTGGAACATGACAAAATTGAGCTGGAGGAGAAATTAAGACTCGAAATTATAATTCTTAAGAATCAGCAAAGAATCACTGAAGAAGACAATGTGTCATTCACCATTCTCTAATCATATTTGTTGTACTTGTTTTTTTATCTCAATTTCATGTTAGTTCTCCAAATGTTGTTATTTAATGTTCTTGTGTGTTTTTTTAATAAAATAGGCTATAAAACGGCTTAATGAAAATATGTGGTCACAATGGGAGCTTATTGAAATGCAATTGCAAAAAACAGCGTTACAAATATACAGGGCTATAGGTTGTTTATTATGTGATTGCGGGTAAGTCGTCCACCGATATCTTCACGGATGCCAGGAGGATTTTGCTGCTTCTTCTTGTGTTGGTAAGTGAATATAATTCCTAAGACGGCGCTGGAGAGCCAAGGAAACTTGTCTAATAGCCCGACATGCAGTTGTGCGATGAACATTAATCATGTCTCCCACAGTATTTTTGAAAGGCCCCGTTCGCGTAAAATCTGAGCGCAATCAGCACCTGCAAGGTTGGGGAGAGCGCAGCGTTTCTGTCTGATCCGTGCTGTAGTTGAGGGGAGATCTCCTCGATTAAATCAAAAAGGGCTTGTCTGCCGAAACGAAACCTCTCTATCAGCTCACTGAATAGATGTCCAGTGGGTTTGTTCGATCAAGGACGACTCTCTCTTCTTAATGCCCTTTCGTTGTTAAACATGTAAACAAGACGCACTGCCATCGTTATTTTCCTTCTTGCCTGTTTAACGTTACTATGGATACTAGTCTGTCTTTCCGATTAACGCCTGCTCCATACTAGGCGTAAAAGTTACACCCGGGCGCAACGCATACAGGGCTTAAGTCTAAGTGGTGCACTAGTCATAACTTTAGTTTGGTCTTAACCTTCGGTTCTACGTCGGACGTAGAGTTACGCCCAGCTTACGCACTCCACTCCTGGAGTCTATCTTATCAGGTGGATAGCTCCCTGGAGCCGATCATTCTATGCTAGGGGCGAAGCTGGCTTTGACTGGTTATCGAATGCTGATTATTATCTTAGGAATAGTTAAATATTGAGGAGAGCATGAGGAATTCAGAGTTAGTTGGGCAGAGGATGTGTCATTATATGTATAATTGTAAATATGTCAATTCTCTGGCCGTAGCTTCCAATAAATCTCCAGTGTCTGACATCAACTCAAAGCTCTTCTGTGTGCTCCTCGTGTTCTTTGCTCCAATCATTTCATCACATATTGGATGTATCCAATTTATACCATAGAATCTGCACAGAAGCTTTTTTATAAGCTTGGCTACCGTAAAAAAGGAAAATATTAAAAAGGAGTTCCTAAGTAAATGTTGTGTTGCTGGCTGTAAGATTTAGAAACATGTTATCAATATCAATCAAAATCCACACTGAACAACAACAGCGTCTGCGGACAACAGTTAGCCTATTTCCTTCCTCAACATAACTTTTTCAGGTTGTCTTTTTCTTAACTGGTTCCCAATTGTAAATTTAAATACTCCCCCTCCAGATCTGCCCTTCAGTTACACACCTCCTGCTTGATGGAAATCTGCGACAGAGGAATGGACAGCCGGCGCAGTCTTACGCTGGGACATACATATTCTTCCCTGGTTACGGTCTCACAGGCCAGGGGAGCACACCAGTCATCAGGTACTGCACAAAAACATGTATAAGACAAATATGGTTAGAATATGTCGTGCAATATTGTGATTATTAAGTACATGCAAAAGATAAAAGGCTTTTCCTTCCCTCACATAAACTTGCAACCTATACTCGGTACTGTACTTAAAGTTTAATGCAGTGTTTCCCCTATATACAAATAGCAGCGGCACCTTTACTGTATGTTCAATAAAAGGTGTATTTTGCTAAATCTTGAGACATTGCCACTGTATGTACTAGGCCTCAAGAGCCTTCCTTGTGCTGGCAGACACATAGAAACATATTGGCGGGGCGCACTTCGCACACACTAAAAGAATCCACGTGCTCGACGCTCACAATTTGCTGGGCCCGCGTGCCTTAGCACCGCTGCTATGACTCCATCCTAGGGGAAACACTGTAATGCCTTTCACTCTGCAATGGTAACCCTCCAAAAATATATTAAATCAAAAAATGTCTCTTTTACAGTAGAAAGCAGCCTATTTTGGCAAGTTATTCACCTCATTTGAACACATTACCTTCAAAATCAATCTCAGGAACATCATCTGTTGGTTTAGGGGCGTTCACAACATCTTCAGTTCCTCCTTTCTTCACCTCTGTTCCTCTGCTGCCGACACACTCAATTTCAGTCAACCTGATCTCTGCTCTCTGCAACTTCATTTTAAGTTGAGCAACTTCCTCTCCTTTATGCCCCAGCTCCATCTGATACTCATGTAGACTGTTCTCAAAGATCATCATTATTTCAAACACAGCTCTCCTCAGGTTGGAGTCCATGCTCATGGTCAGCTGGGCCCTGAACCCTCTTATCAGGTCAGACATCTTTGAAGAAAGCTGGAAACAGGCTACAGATGTCCTAGATCCTTGAGTGATTCTGTACTGCTCCTTTTACACTCCCCCTAAAACAGATATACAAGAGATCAGGTTACAATTAAAAAATGTTATGAAATTGAACAACCCATACATTTGTTTACTTAATGCGTGCAGAAATGTTCCTTTGGTTTGAATGTATACAAATCTGCAACTAAAAAGGGTACAGTAAAACAAAACCAAACAGGACACATTAGAATACATTTCTATAAAAACAATATACATTTGGTCAGTTTAGCATGGTGTATATTTGCGGGCTCTGGGCTCTAAAACCAAGGGGAAGAAACTCTTCCTTTCACAGCAACACAACTGCCTCATAGCTTTGAAGCATGAAGTACCCGGGCATAGGTGACTTTCATTGAAATGTATCATAAGTCTCTTTTAATTATTTAATTATATATATATATAATTATATATATATCATGTCATTATAACTTTGATTTTCTACTAAATGTTCTGAAGCTTTCAACAAACTGGGTGTCATATTGACCACTGCCAGGAAAATCATCATACGGATGTTACCTGTTATAATTAACATGTTTATACTTAACCCCCGTCTAGCCACCGAGCTTCAATAGCCTGTAATGTAGAATTTGATTGACTAACCTTCCCTTTCTTATGTCTTTTCCTGTACAAAGTGATTGCTTTTCTGTTGTAACCTTGTCAGAACTTGTACTACATTGCTGGTGCAAGACTGTCAGATGGTGATTAAGTGTGGAATGCCCACCAAATGAAAGTGTTTTAATCATATGATGGGGAAATGTTTCCACCGAAACACATAACGGTACTGTAACGGTTTGGATACAAAACAAACCCATGCTAGCATTGAAAGGACCGTCAGGAAACAGCGCCATGTGTTGTCGTTAAAACGCCTCAATCTAGGTTTATGCAAAACAAACGGGTTTGACAATACTTTCGCAAGTGGTTTAAGAAGAAACCTCGGATGATTTACCAAACACATATTAGAATAACAAGCACGTAATCTTTTTTGAACCACATTGCAGCCAGTAGGCTACGCCATGTTCTTGAATTACTAACTACACAGTTATTCCTTTCGACAAAAGATAGGCTTCTGAAATCCACACATGTCTTTTGAATAAACACAACTAGGCGTTGTAACAAAAAGGAAAGCCAAAATGGGTTACAAGCAAGTTAAACGTGTATATCAAATCCTCATGGCGGACAAATGAGATACTCACGGTTCGGGAAGAGGGGAGCTCCTGCCGCCTTTCTGCGGTGATTTACCGGGTCCGAACCTCCGAAAACCACACGACAGCAACAGTGAACACCGCCTCATCCACTGACAGCTAAATGCGTAATGTAGTTGTTTCTTGATAGTGAGTAGACTTGTACTAACCAGTGTATGTTACCAACCACACGGGGAGATAACCATACGCCATTTTCACTCCACATTCCCAGGCGGGAAAGAAAGGTTACGTCGGAACTACGTCACTAAAGGAAAATAAAAAACATGTTTGGAGTTGGGTTGCGTTCGAATACTCCAAAAAAACAGCTCCTAAATTCTAACCCTATCGTCTATTCCTTGACCTCGGAGTGAAACGTCATGGGGTTAAGGGATAGTGGATAGGAGAATTCAAAAGGATTTAGGAGAAGAGACTGCGGTACTTTAGAGAATCCGACTGCACTTTCACTATCCGACGTGTTTATGATGCGCCAGCAGAGGTCATAAATGTGCGCCTGCTGCTATGGGGAAACTATGGATTGATTGATTGATTGAAAAGTTTATTAACAGCTTGTATATTGGGTACAGTACAGTACAGCTCAAAACATACAATTGTTAAGGGGATGCAGACCAGAGAAAGACTTTCGTCTTGTTTACATCAGGGTCCCCCATTTCCAATTCATCATATCATTTAAGACATATAAGACATATTTGACATACAGATGGCTTATTTACAATTTACATACAGGTGGTTTTTTACATACAGATGGCTTATTTACAATTTTCATTTTAGATTTCGTTCTAATACATCCTAACCGGACATTTAAGACATACCAAGTCTACAGATATACAGTTAGTAACAGAGTCTAAAATGCGAGTATATACATAGATGGGAACTACAGTTTTCTATACAGCGGACTACAACATGGATGTTTAATAAGAACGAGGGACTACTGTAAACTCATCTAGAGACTCTGCACCGTGCTCTGATGCTGTTGTTGTATGCTTTATGAACGGGGACAACAGAGAAACATATTCTTCATGACCAAAGTTGGAATTGAAATAAAAAAGGAAAGTGAAACTTATGCTCGTCACCCTCTCCCTCCGGTCCTCATTAATACAAATGATCCCAATACGTATGATTGTATGAAAAGATCTTAAAATCAATACAAATGTATTTATTATAACCGTTAGTCCTTAACATCTATCACTGTGTATATCACCATTCAAACATCTTTTAAAAGTTGAACAAACCCCACACAGCTCAGTAAAGACTGTGAAATGTTGACTTTATTTGATCATTTCAGTCAAAACTAACGTTCATATTTCTCTTTTTGATTATAATACTGATGAACGTTCAAAACAAAGCACTTTGGCAACTTACCACATACGTTTTAAAATGCTTAATAAGCACCGTAACTTTCATGATATCATTTCTCGTTCATAATCGGTTGTTTCCGTGGACGGCCGACTGTTGGGTGACGGCAAATGCCGCGGCCGCAAGGCATTGTGGGGCAGCATTTTCTCCTCTCCTTTCGGTTAGGGAGGTCCAGTGGTTCCTAAGCTAAAGGAGGTTATAAAGGAAGTTTGAAACCTCCTTTCCTTTTAATTTAGAGAATTCGAACGGCACTTATCATGGCTGCCACTGAGGGACTTCCGGGTCATTTCACTCCGTTAGGAAGGTTCCTAAGCTAAATGGACTATTCGAATGCAACCTTGGACTCAGAGTGGCGAAGTCCTTCCCCTTCCGGTGGACCTCCATGGGACCTTATTTCGGAAAAATTATGTATTGAAGTCAATGGAGAGAGAAAGATTATCTTTCGATCCCGTTTGAATTGTGCCACGAATTACACATATGATGTTTGTCAATTTAAAAGATAATTTTGCAAGTCAAAAAAAAAAAATGTGTCGTAAAACTGTGAAGTAACACATTTGTTTGTGTGAAACGCTCAATGAACTACATCTCTGGTCTCACAGAACAACACACGTCACCAAGATGGCCGTCACTACTGTCTTGTCAACAAAACGATTGACTACCCTCACTATCACCACAATAGCCGCGTTCACACCGGAGTACTTTCACCGTACTTTTCGCGTTTTAGTTCCGTGAGTACCCCTTATGTCGCGTTCACACCAAAAATCGTACTTAATCTCGGGTACTTTTACCCCCATTTTTAGAGCCAGCTCAGAGAGCGTACTTTTCTGTGGGTGAAAAGTGCTCCAAAAGTTCCCCAGTGCTGATTGGCTGGGCGAATTGCAAACCACGCCCGTACAACTCTGAAAATGTTGTGTGGAGACCTATGGTGGAGACGCCATTGTTTTTCCTCGCTACAAAAACACAACGCTCCGTGCGTTGTGTTTGTTTTTGAAAGCAGTTATGGCAAGCATCAAGAAATGATGAGGAGGTGTCGGCGCTTCTGGAGATCTGCGCCGAGGACGCGACCCAGGGAATGCTACTGAAGCCAGTTCGGTAGCTTTCACTCGACCTGGGAATTGTGCACAGCCGGCTAAATATAAAGAAACTCAGGACTACAAACGGCGGATTCAGTGGCCAACGATGACTACCACGATGAAGGTAAAATCAACTACATGCACGGGGGTTTTAATCTGCACAATAATGGTCTCAGATGTATTTTTAGCTACATCTAGCTAGCTAGATATTCTCCGCTGTATGAAAACGTTTTGACTTGTGAATAACTGTGCAGTGTTTCTGTAATTTGCTTCACTAACTCATGGCACTAATCGTCTGTTTCAGGCGAGGATGGACAACTCTCGGGATTGGAAACAAGTGAGCTTTGCATTCTAGATCACAGCGCTTTGTCGTCCTCCTTACCAGCAACCAAACGCAAAGGTACACACACTGTAACTTTGTCTTGAAAGAACGTTACGCATCGAACTGATGTTCACAATCATGTTTATTTCATAATATTCATCATATTTTATGTTTAACTTGCCTCAACAACATTAAACAAAGTTCAAGCATACATGAAGCACTCTTCAAAAAGGAACAATCCTCCGTGTTTGAACCTCTTGAATCGCTGCATAGCCGATTTATTTGGACTGGATTATCCCAGAGAGGCCAAACATTCTTTATAACACAGTTTCAGATTTGTGAAACCTTAATTCTATTTGTGAAAATACAAAAAAGGGAGATTTCAGTGCTTTTTTTACATGTAGACCACATTAGACCAGGTCCTGATCTAAAACCACTATACCTAGACTCATCAAATCTGGACTGGATTATCCCAGAGAGTCAAAAGATTCTTTATAACACAGTTTCAGATTTGTGAAACCTTAATTCTATTTGTGAAAATACAAAAAACACATTCCTAGTATGTTGTAAAACTACATGGCGACTAAGATCTTGTATATTGCTTATTTTCCCCTCTTAGGAAAGCGGACACGGGATGCGAATTTCTTTGACACCGCCCAGGCGTTGGAGGACCGGCGTGCCGTGGTGAATGAGTCGCTGCGTGGAGATCAGATGGTGCTGTTCACCAAGGCCCAGGAAACGGAGGACAAGATGCTCACCTCGATGGAGCGCCAGGCAGAAGTGTTCAAGCAGCAGATGGAGCGCCAGCAGCACCAGGATGAAGTGTGGGCGCTGCGCCATGAGGAAGCGTCGGCGCAGCGGCAGGATGAGCGACAAACTGCATTTAATAACAGTTTATTTGGTATAGTTTTTGTAAATACTGACACACGACACACAACGTTGCACTAAGGTGTGTATGCTGCTGAGACTATCCCTACACCTGGGACAGTTTATTTTATGTTATTACTGTTATGACTTTATTTTATATATAATGTTTACTGACATGTACAACTGACACTTTATTTACATTTAAAATTGTTCTATTTAATGTTATGTCTTGAGAGTGCGATAAAGAAAACCGACATGGCGATTAAACAGATCCTGTATATTGCTTATTTCTCCTGACACTTTATCTTTTGTGACCTGTGTAGCATCCTATACATCACATGTAAGTGATTATTCTGATACCATCATGTTTCATCGGTTATAAACTGGCAAAGCTTTATTTGTCATTTATTTATCATCAATGTTGCAACCTTGTGGGGGAATGGCAGCGGCACATACACAAATATGATAATTTATATCATTTTAAATATTATTTGACCTAAACTTTTAATTCCCCCCCATTTCACACAACACAACATGGAGTCCACTATGGGCCAAAACTAACATGTATGTTTGCATAGTGTTTATGGCAGACGGATGCAGTGGGTCTCAGGAAGATATATAATAAAGGTGGGTTTGCTGCTGAGACTCCCTACAGCTGGGAGTTTATATTGTTATTACTGTTATTATATAGTACAACTGACACTTTATTTTATATTGACAATGTTTACTGACATGTACAACTGACACTTTAGTTACATTTAAAATATTTCTATTTAATGTTATGTCTTGAGAGTGCAATAAAGAAAACCGACATGGCGATTAAACAGATCCTGTATCAGCCATCCTACGGTGAAACATGGCAATCGTGTGCTTTCCGTCGGCCAATCCTTTTCCTAAAGCTTTTGATGCTGAAGAAACTTTGCGATTATAGCATTCGACGTGTGGCGGCTCCGGATTTTTGTCGGACGCCTAATAGGCTCAGGCTCTGGCCGCATTAACGAAGTTACAAAGCTGTATAACATGAGCACAAACAGCACAACTTCAGTCGACTCCATCTCCATCATGTCTGAGGTCGGAAGGTAAACAACAGACAGTATACGCGGGAAGTTTTTCTTCTTCTTCTCTTGTTTTGTAGCGGATTGCAAACAACTTTAAGGTGCTTACCGCCACCTACTGTACTTGTAATCTTCCCTCAGGGAAAAGTACTCCGGTGTGAACGCGATCTGTACTAAGTGCCCTGGGGTTAAAAGCGCCAGGGCTCTTAGTGCCGGAACTAAGTACAGAAAAGTACTTGGTGTGAACGCGGCTAATGAAACACGTCCTGAAGAAAGTCATGCAAAGCTGCCTGCCTGCCTTCCTTTGATTCTCTCTGAACTGCCTGGTCTTTTTAATGTTTAATGTCAACCATTTGTGCAGATAGCATGAAGTAGAGAAGATCGCTAGCGTTAGCGTTAGCATTTATCCCCCGGGCTTAAATTGTGTATTATAGAATGATCACACCGGTGTGACAGTACTCTTCAAAGGGTTCACGAAATATGACTACTACTCTTACTGTTTAACATTTTGGGTTACTTAATGTTACTTCATGTTAAGGCTAATACAAATGACAAGGCTGTAATGCTAACTAACGTGCTAGCTACTAGCTAGCTTGATCCAGACACTCCTGGTCCTTTCATCAGACGGGAAGCGAAAGAACGAGCAAGACCCATTGCTGGTATGATAACAACCTGGTACTAAGCACACAGGCATCTTGTTAAAGTTATCTTATCTTAG